ACTTCCCTTTTCCAACACCTGTACAGCTAAACTCGAAGCATCCCCTGAGTGCACTCAAGTGGAAAAGGGAGATAGGAATAGTTGTAAACCTGAGTTGAACCGGGATACAGATTACATGAAAGAGGTATTATTAATTTTAACATCTCCCCACTTTTCTAAAGGAGAAATTTAGCCTCCATTTCGTTGAAGTGAAGAAACTTTATGATTAAAATTGGAGGACAAAATTTAATTTGGTGTGGTTAAAATCACTTTTACACGTTTGTTACTACGTTCCACATAGGAGGTCCAGGGGCATGACCCCAAAAAAGGAAAAAAGAAAGAAACAGAGTGCAATAGACAGACGGCTGAACGATTACCAACCTCTGAATGCCCTCGTATGGAGAGAGTTAATAAAAGCTGTTGTAAACCTGAGTTAAGCCAGGATACAGATGATACGAAAGAGGTATTATTACGTTTTAGCAACGAAACTTTCTAGGGGGGAAGTTGAGCTTCCATTTTGTTCTGGCGTGAGAATACCCTGTGATTCCAATTGGAAGGCAATTTATGGTATGGGAAAATTCATTTCACTTTGCGCAAATTTTTTCACTTTGCGCACAGGTGGTCCAGGGACATGACCCCGAAACTTTGCGAAAATTTTTTCACTTTACGCACAGGTGGTCCAGGGACATGACCCCGAAACAGGGAACGAGGAAGATGCAGAGTGCGGCGGAGAGACGACTGAACTCATAGCATCCCCTGAGTGCTCTCAAATGGAAAAGGTAAATAACAATGGTTGTAAACCTGAGTTAAAACAGGATACAGGTGACAGGAAGAGGTATTATTGTGTTTAACATTTTCCTTCTTTTCTAGAGAGGTAGATCTAAATGACGCAATAGAGCTGCGCGCGAACTTTAATTTAGTTGCACGTGCTGCCTCGTAAGGCTGGTTTTCACTTGCGATAGAGTCGTAGTCGGAGTCGTAATAAGAAGCGTGGAGCGATACGATCTAGTGAAAATCAAAGCGACGGAATCGGAAGCAGAAAACCGATTCTGCCTATGACTCCTTCGCTTACGATCTAGTGAAAACTGCATTGTCGGAGTCGGAAGTGGAAGCAGAAGAATAAACCAATCACAATGCTCGATTCTATCTTTCCAAAAAGCACAAATAGCCGTAAAAAAACGTGTGAGCTTGACTGTAAATTACGAAATTAAAGTTAAAATACTCGAAAACTACCCAAAGTACAATCACGATCACCAAGTAGTAGTTCGCTGACGAGGTTAGCATACTCATATCACGAACCCAAAATTGCTTTCTTTTCCGAACGATATCATTCCTGCAGTGTCTCTGCCTGCGCAAAATAATGAATAATAACAGCCAAAGTTGCTCTTCGTCCCCCATTTGTCTTTGGCGCCAAAATTTGTACTTTCGCGGGCCTGGAATCGAGCATTGTGATTGGTTTATACCTTCGCTTCCGTTTCCGACTCCTATAATGCAGTTTTCACTAGATCTTAAGCGACGGAGTCATGAGCTGAATCGGAAGAAAATGGAAACGTTCTGATTCTTCCGACTCCAATTCCGTCGAGCTTATGACTCCGCTTACGACTCCATTTTTCGATTTTTACTTGTTATAAGCGCTCTTACGACTCCGATTACGACTCCGACTCCGTCGCTAATGAAAACCAGCCTGTAGCTTTACGTTTTTAATTGAAGGAAATTATTATCTTTTATTAGAACTATCACAGAGACTTTTATTTACTTTAAGTCTTTTGTTTGTGAATTCGCTAATACGCGCGCGGTACTTTCGTTTCTAGAAAGTTCTACCGTATCGTAAGCGCTTACGAAAGTGCCGNGCTGCCTCGTAAGGCTGGTTTTCACTTGCGATAGAGTCGTAGTCGGAGTCGTAATTAGAAGCGTGGAGCGATACGATCTAGTGAAAATCAAAGCGACGGAATCGGAAGCAGAACACCGATTCTGCCTATGACTCCTTCGCTTACGATCTAGTGAAAACTGCATTGTCGGAGTCGGAAGTGGAAGCAGAAGAATAAACCAATCACAATGCTCGATTCCATCTTTCCAAAAGGCACAAATAGCCGTAAAAAAACGTGTGAGCTTGACTGTAAATTACGAAATTAAAGTTAAAATACTCGAAAACTACCAAAAGTACAATCACGATCACCAAGTAGTAGTTCGCTGACGAGGTTAGCATACTCATATCACGAACCCAAAATTGCTTTCTTTTCCGAACGATATCATTCCTGCAGTGTCTCTGCCTGCGCAAAATAATGATTAATAAGAGCCAAAGTTGCTCTTCGTCCGCCATTTGTCTTTGGCGCCAAAATTTGTACTTTCGCGGGCCTGGAATCGAGCATTGTGATTGGTTTATACCTTCGCTTCCGTTTCCGACTCCTATAATGCAGTTTTCGCTAGATCGTAAGCGACGAAGTCGTAAGCGGAATCGGAAGAAAATGGAAACGTTCTGATTCTTCCGACTTCAATTCCGTCGAGCTTATGACTCCGCTTACGACTCCATTTTTCGATTTTTACTTGTTATAAGCGCTCTTACGACTCCGAGTACGACTCCGAATCCGTCGCTAATGAAAACCAGCCTGTAGCTTTACGTTTTTAATTGAAGGAAATTATTATCTTTTATTAGAACTATCACAGAGACTTTTATTTACTTTAAGTCTTTTGTTTGTGAATTCGCTAATACGCGCGCGGTACTTTCGTTTCTAGAAAGTTCTACCGTATCGTATGCGCTCACGAAAGTGCCGCGACAGCCAGCAAGCAGTATAAAGGTCAACTTCTTTTTTTTGTCATACCAGTTGACGCAAAGTCTTTCAAGTAAAAGCGAAGTTTTAGTCGCCGTGCTCAATCCTTTCTATTAAATTGTCCTAGTAATAGCAGAGGTATCATCGTGCTTTAAACTCTTCTGCTTTTCTAGAAAGGTAGAACAAACCTCCATTTTGTTCATAGGTAATTGATAAATTGTCGAGAAACAAGAGATCTCTTGCGACAGAACAATCCACAGAGAATATTGGCAATAATTGTTTGCTTTGCTTAAGTTAGTAACATTCTAGTCCGTGAGATTTGACAAAGCAATGGAAAAACAACATCCTAGGATCATATTCCTCGATTATGGTCTTTTAATGACATTTTTATATATTTTGACGCAGAACTCTAATGTTTCCCAGCATATCAGCCATGATGACTGTACTGTGCTTACCGGTTCTGAAAGGTAAGAGATTTCAACCGG